GGCTGGACATACCCGTGGTAGGAGGGGGCAGTAATTCTAACAGTGGGGGTATGGTTCTTGCCCCTCTGAGCTCGCACACCCCACCCAGTGTATTTTCTGCAGACTTTTTGGACAGTTCAGATCTGCAGCTCCACTGGGACTCATGTTTGTAGCTTTTGGTCTTAATTGCTTGACGAGACACAATTTAGCACCTTCAACCCTACTGTGTATAGGCTGTACACAAAACACTCCAGACGCAGATGCTGTTTCTTATGTTGAAAAGCTTCATTTTTTTCTTCATATTCCAATGCCAAATGGTATTTAAACAGTTCCTGCGTCTGATAGGTTCTCTTAAGCACTGAATTTTAAGCTCTCATTTACTTCATCATATCCAAATGTTTTACATCACATGGCATTATTGCCTTTGCCAACAGAGAGACCAATCTGGACCCCGCCACCAACTTCTCACATCATCGACAGCTCAACTAAAGAATCCATATTTTGGTTTCGCAATTAGACAAGTTGTCTATGCTGGTTAGGATCATTTTTCACTTTTAAGCACACCAGTTCGTTCCGCTACCTATCTTTGGCACCACATAGTGTTATTTCTACCCATCTCAATAAAGCTGTGACCTCATAACCGGTCCCAATTTATATTAAGTGGCCCTAATACCTGTGTACTTGCATAGTAACTAGATGTGTACATAGTATGTAACCACAGTGTAAGTACACACTGGTACATAGTATCTACAGCTGTAATGTTTGTGTAACTACACATATGTAACAACCCACTGAATGGTATGTGTAACAGGACATTGGTAACAACACGTTTTGGTAATGAAAGTACAAATGTGTAACAGGACTAACAGCACTTTTTAGTAAAGAAAGTGTTACACTTTTTGGTAAAGAAAGTGTTACACTTTATATTAAGTAAACAATTCCTATGGATTTACCATGTAATTACTCTGATGTTACACAGCAGCGGTGTGTACTTACACTGTGGTTACATACTACGTACACATCTAGTTACTATGTAAGTACACAAGAATTAGGGCCACTTAATATAAAGTGGGACCAAAATATGAGATGTCATAGACATGCTTGCTTTTGAACCCTTTTGGCTTGTTAGTTTTTCGAACATTGCACTTAAGCCGACCTGACTGGTGCTCTGATCTACACCCAATGTAATGGGATCTGCAGGGAACCAGGTTTGGTGACGTTCACCAGATCTCTATGCATTGCTGTACTTTAGGATCATGTATTGATGAAACCTTTGTTCTTTTCCCTCTGATTGTAGCGATTCGCTGGTGGAGGTCAGTGCTGGGGTTCAGGTTTCAGAGTATTTGGAACTTCTTGTTTTTTAAAAAAGGAAGAAAAAAAATAAAAGAAAAAAATGCAGCGTGGAGTGTGTTTTGTTGTTTCACCTGTGCTCACATATACACAGTACATTCATCCACGATGGTCATTTATTCTGCAATTGAAGCAAATGGGATTTTATTGCCCTACTCCTGTTGAGGCTAGTCTGTATAATACTAAAATAAAATGGTGTTTAGATGTTTTCAAAATTGTATTAAATAATAAAAACCTAAAAATTACCTAATTCATTAGTGTATGCCCCTGTTGTCAAGATTCAGTAGGTACCAAATAAGCAACCAAGGCTTTAAATATATATGTATAGTGCTATCTGGGGGGAAAAAAGCAACTTTAAATGCATGTTATAATTAATTTTACATTCATAATTAGGCATTTGGCAGTTGCTTTTTTCTATCTGATCTTGACATTGTCATTGAAAATGCCATTCTTTTACTGTTACTGAAAGAAAATCTGGGCCATTTTCTAATAATTTTCATCTTGCAGCAAAAACAAATTTTTATGAGATAGGCAGTGTTCATTTTAAATATCAGTTCAGTTGCTTAATTAGACAATTAAAAATCACTAAAAAATAGCTCAACCCAAAGGGCTACTGTGTGGAGAACTGAGATTTCTGTTGTTAGGAGGCTAAAGGCTGGAGATAGATATTAATACGACTGAATTAGTGTTAAAGGGATATTTTGGCCAAAATTTTAAAATCTGTCATTTACTCACCGTTAATCAATATGATTTTCTAAAGGAGATATTGACGACTAACAGCCTCAGTCACCATCCACTTTCATACAATTAAATGAAGTGGGGATTAAGATGGTCATAAATGTGCTCCATGGTATAAATAACCTTTTACAGATTTACATTAACATGAGGTTAATGTAACCTTTCATAATAAGGTGATGAAATGATGACTGAATTATTGGGGGAGCTATCCCTTAAAGGAACATGGATGCACTCAAGTATATTTTAAATTAATGGCATACATTTTAATGAATAGAAAGTATTATGTGAAGTTTTATTGTGCTATTGTCTACTGTACTATGCGGTATCTTCGGCGACCTAAAGAGAGCGCAAGAGATCTACAGCCCAGATTATCATATGACGAGCGGAGGCTCAGTGTTGTTGTGTGAGGAGGCCGAGTTTAAGATATAGCAAATATGTTTTCATTTCTGAAAAATATAGTTTTCTGTCTCGACAGCCGTGACTGACATCTTGAATTTTACCTGCCTGTCGTGCCTGGTGAGTGGTGATGATTTAAGGGAGCTCGTGAAAGAGTCACTGTCACACTATATGATTACATGGAATTATAACGTAGGCTGTAACTGCCAAAATCATCAAAAGCATTACTGCGTCTGAAATTTTTTATTTTGTAAAGAGACATTGTTTGAGGTACAAATCCACATTTGAAAACTTATTCAATTTGGCAGTTGCTTTTTTCTATCTGATCTTGACATTGTCATTGAAAATGCCATTCTTTTACTGTTACTGAAAGAAAATCTGGGCCATTTTCTAATAATTTTCATCTTGCAGCAAAAACAAATTTTTATGAGATAGGCAGTGTTCATTTTAAATATCAGTTCAGTTGCTTAATTAGACAATTAAAAATCACTAAAAAATAGCTCAACCCAAAGGGCTACTGTGTGGAGAACTGAGATTTCTGTTGTTAGGAGGCTAAAGGCTGGAGATAGATATTAATACGACTGAATTAGTGTTAAAGGGATATTTTGGCCAAAATTTTAAAATCTGTCATTTACTCACCGTTAATCAATATGATTTTCTAAAGGAGATATTGACGACTAACAGCCTCAGTCACCATCCACTTTCATACAATTAAATGAAGTGGGGATTAAGATGGTCATAAATGTGCTCCATGGTATAAATAACCTTTTACAGATTTACATTAACATGAGGTTAATGTAACCTTTCATAATAAGGTGATGAAATGATGACTGAATTATTGGGGGAGCTATCCCTTAAAGGAACATGGATGCACTCAAGTATATTTTAAATTAATGGCATACATTTTAATGAATAGAAAGTATTATGTGAAGTTTTATTGTGCTATTGTCTACTGTACTATGCGGTATCTTCGGCGACCTAAAGAGAGCGCAAGAGATCTACAGCCCAGATTATCATATGACGAGCGGAGGCTCAGTGTTGTTGTGTGAGGAGGCCGAGTTTAAGATATAGCAAATATGTTTTCATTTCTGAAAAATATAGTTTTCTGTCTCGACAGCCGTGACTGACATCTTGAATTTTACCTGCCTGTCGTGCCTGGTGAGTGGTGATGATTTAAGGGAGCTCGTGAAAGAGTCACTGTCACACTATATGATTACATGGAATTATAACGTAGGCTGTAACTGCCAAAATCATCAAAAGCATTACTGCGTCTGAAATTTTTTATTTTGTAAAGAGACATTGTTTGAGGTACAAATCCACATTTGAAAACTTATTCATGATTTCAAGCATTACTTTTTTGGGTTTATTGGTGGTTCTGTTTACTCTTAGGCCTATTTAATGTGAATATAAAACCGTAAATTTCCTTTCAAAATACATTTTTGGTAGGCTTTCTTCTTGTGTTTCTTCAATCGTTGTTAAAAGCCCTTATATGACTAGTTAATTAACCTAACACCGTTTTTACACAATAGCCTACTGCAGGCATTACCAACGTAACAAATAGTAGATTTATACAAACACTCCAATTTCAGATATATTTAAACACTGTTTAACAAAGCGTCTGTGTAGTTCTTAAATACAATTCTCATAAAGTTAAATAATACAATAAATGTACATGAATACAGAAATATATTTAATATGCTTAATATAAATTTGACAACAGAAAAAGCAGAAGTGCCCAGTTGACAGGAATATCTGGGTTAAATAAAAGCAAAACAGGACCCAGTACAGGAACAGACAGGAAGCACTTATAAGTACATATATTTTTAATACTACAACCTTTTAAGGAATATCACACTAGCAAGAGTGCTGTTGGTCTGAATGACAGCTGTGCTGATATTCAGACAGCGAGTGTGATATTACTTTTATACAACAGTTTAACAAGTGACAGTATATGCATGTAGTATTAGTGATTCCTCCTCCTTTGCTAAAAGAGTTCTGTAATCACTATGGGTTTTACATTTCCCAATCCCACTAGCTGAGGATTTTAGTCGTACCAGAATTGGAATTTGAATCTCCAGGTTCTACTGCAGATGACTAACCGACACAATTAGCTTGGATTCCCATCAGACCTGCTATATGGTATTGAAGTAGTTTTTGTATTTACGGTTTCTGAGGAAAAAATTCTGGTAACTGATCCAAGTGAAAGGAAGGACAGATAAGTAGAAGGTAAACAGTGCAAGGCTTGCCTATATGCAGCTAGTGCTTGTGAGATCTTGATTTCAAGGATGGTTAATTCACTAGAGCTGATATTTTTGCCATTGCATAGCTTGTTTTACACGAATTATGTGCTTCTTTCCCAGTTCCAGATTATTGCTCAGAGCTGCTGGCATAATTTTTCAGCCTCACACAATGAGGCAATGCGCCTTGGTTAACAATCTGTAAAGTGAGCTATTCAGCATGACAGTGAGGACTGGACACTTTTTGTCAGGCGGTAACGAAGGAGATAGTGAAAAAAACGAGATAAAAACAGGAAGATAAGAGGAAGTTAGATGTTTGATGATGTCTTCACTCCATGATTGGAGTGATTTGAATGTAAAAACTAACAAAGACTCATAAAAACAAGACTTTCTCCCTTATGTTTCCACAGAAAATTCATCCAGGACAGCGTTCCGACATGTAGTGCAATTCCAGTTGGGTGACCAGAGTTTGAGTCCTGTCTTGTGGTCCTTTCTCAATCCCAACCTTCGTTCACTCCCACTTTGCTACCTGTTAAGTCCTGTCCCAAGAAAAGCAAACATGCCAAAAATAGATCTAAACATATAGATAAATAGAAAAGAAGGAAAATGCATCTAGACAGTTTTCAGCTTTGAGGTCTTTTTCAATATAAACATGTTTCATGGTGCTTTATCAGATTTGTTGTCAAGTTTGTGTCATTTTTACTCACAGCACAACTTGATTCTTTCATACAAAGGTGATTGGAAGCCACAGGTACCGGATTGGTGTGCCTTATGGTTTTTCTCAAACTCATTCCCCTAAAACAAATGAGTGATTTAATGAGTGACTTTCTCACAATGAGACTGCTAAGCCGGAGAGGAAGATCGTGAAATTTGCTCAAACTCCAAAAAACATTCTTCATGAGCACAAAATCCTCAACACACTCAGCAAAGCTTATAACTAAATCCTGGTGTGACACCAGGCGTCTGGGTGTTGCTCTGTGCCTCTTCTTTTTTCATATAATTGATCCTGAGGTTGTGTTTACATAAAGATGGCCAGGATAATGTCCCTTAATGACTTAGATTTAGGCTGACGTGATGATGGCATTGTCCTCGTTGAGTTAATGTGGCCTCGGGCGCCATTCCTGTGTTCCTATGTGAACACTCACCTCGTTGTCAGTGGCACAGAGGCCAGAGATGAACTCAGAAAAGTGGGACACATAAGAAACTATATAAATTTAGACAAGAGGGGTTTAGCACTGAAAGTAGGGATGACTACATAGTCCTCATATTTGTCTTTGTGCACACAGTCTGTTAACTGTCAGCATTGCTGTTTCTTTCTATCCTGTTTCTTCAGACAGTGACCTCCGTCTTGCTGTTGGTCTGGTAGGCCTTAAGTTTGGGATTTGGCTGATAGAGTGGTTGTCCCCCATAGCCTGTGGGCTGGGAGAGGAACTCCGGTAGTGTTTCTATGCTGTACTGTCTCCTGCTGCTGTTGGTCTGACGGTGAGCGGAGTGCCCTGGATGCGAGGTCTGCCGGTGGACATGTCTTTGTCCAGAATCCCAAGCTTTGAAGGCTGAGCTGGAAAGCTGAGGGTGGGTGATGGTTTTTGGGATGCGGGTCCTCTCCAGCTGGTTGGTTGGGATTGAGATCGAAAGGGGGGAATGGATGTCATGGGAAGGGAGGACCTGGTGGAGATAGGACTTGTCTTTTGGGTGCATCTGTATCGGTTGGAAAGGTGCAGGAGGGGAATAATGCTGAGAGAAATCCATTAGTGGATAACTTTTGTAGTAGCCCCTGCTTGCAGTATCGGCTGTAAAGGAGAAGAAGAAATGGAAAATGTTCAAGAGGGACAAACATTTACATTGTACAATTATAACTGAGCTGCAGCAGGCACATTTATAGTAAAGCTTCAGTCTTTATGTGGCTACTTAGCATGTAAAAGAATATGAGATGGGAGGAAAATTTATAATCCAATGTGTTTTGTGAGAGAAAATTTGCATTCATATAATACTTTTGCCATTCTTATGGCATTCTTATTCTGCAAAGTATCTCGACAGAACACAAAAGTTAAACAAGTGAACACAAAGTTTGTTGGGGAATGCGAAAGATTTGCAAACGAATGCAAAGTCTCTTGGGAGAACAGAAACGTTTTGCGTGTGATGCTAAATTTCTCGGGGGAACATGAAAGTTTTGTGAGTGAATGCAAACTCTGCTAGGGGAACACAAAAATTCTGAGAATGAATGCAATGTTTCTTGGGGGCATGTGAACATTTTGCATGTGTTCTGCAAGCAAACGCAGTTTCTTAGGGGAACACAAACATTTTGTGAACAAAAATAAAAGCATTAAAATATAATTTTTCCATCACCATGTATTATGGGCTCCATGTCTGTCTGTCTACATTACATATTTGAAGGATTAAATGCATGTTGTGTGGCACCACTGTCTTTTGGAGCATGTGCAGAATATACGATTAACATCTATACATGTTGGACAAAGATCGCATTGTCTAGGTCCGACTTCACAATAACAGACTGGTATGATTCATTCATTCTATCCCAGATGTTTAGATGGCATTTTAAAAACAATTTATTTTTGGTAGTCCAACTGAAAGACTTTTAAAGGGCATGTACACTAGGCTAACCGAGACTTGTCATTTTGCACTTTACATATTGTTGCTCTTTTGTTAGTTTTGATTGCTTCTATTGTCCTTTGGATAAAAGCGTCTGCTAAATGACTAAATGTAAATGTAAATCTTTGATTTTTAAAAAAAGTCTTATCAAAGAACAAATAAAATAATGTGCATCACTGGAAATTCATCCAGTGCTACCATGAGTTGAATGTATCAACTTTCAGTCAAGTTTTGATGAAGCACATGAAACAGCAGTGTCTGTATTCTTGTTGAGATGTCCTGTGAGAGCTTGTCTATTTTATTAAACACTTTGACTTTGTAGACTGAAATGTTTAAAGGTCATGCCTCGGACACGAGTTAGCTCTCTTCTCACGGTATTTACCTGCGAGCTCTGTCTCGTCGCATTAATGTCTGCCAGCTACACTTGTTCTGTTTGTTCTTGCATTGCAGTAAATCATGAAGTTTTCGAAGGTGTGTACATGTATAAAGTGACATACTGTATATGGCCCTACTTGCCTGAATCACCAAAAAAAAAGGATTGAGTACAGTTCCTGTGGATGCTCTTCTGATGTTAGCCTCATCAAATCCAGTATCAAATTTATAAACTGATGTCAGATGGCGTTCTTTCAAGTACCATAGTCATTTTAGCCTTTTTTTTCTCATTCATTACTTTCTTTTTGCCACAAGGTGATTCAAGTAGATGACATCTAAAAATCCTTGAGCTTACTCCAAAGGCTGTATTGTAATTATGCATCATCCTCATCACGGTATGCTGATTGCAGACCATCCTGGCATTGGATCTTTGTTCGGTAACAGTCAGATACAGACGTGTTCATATGTGTAAGTAGCTAATAATGTGTATGCATTATGTATGTGTCATTATGTCACTGAATCATTGTGGTCTAAACACTATTGGCTTAACATGTTCCCAGAATGTAGGGCAGGCTAATGCTCTTGCCTGAAAGTTAATGGACTACAAGAAGCACCTCTCAAGCCCACAGTTCTCTTTTTAAAATGAATCATTCTTTGGCAAAATGCAATAAGATCTGTTTATTATTTGTTTATTAAGCTTGAGAAAACTAGAACAGAAACGAGGCGCTTTCACACATAAAGCCTATTTTCACGTTTAGAGGTCATGTGTGAATTACACCCATTGTTAAAATGCAGCACATCAGCTCCACTAAATTGCTGGCTGAAGCATTATAACACTGCTGCAACACAATATGTATTAATATGTGTGAACAAGTGCCATAAGATAAATAAGGTTTAAGCACACAAGTAAAAAAAAAAAGTTTTTAAAATATCACAAAGTAGAGGCACAAGCAGTTAAAGCCCATTCACACCATAAACAACTATAACGATAAGCTGTGTTAGTGTCCACAACAACAGATGATAAAGTTCTGTTTATTATAAGCGTATGCTGCAGTTATGTCTTAAATGCTTGAGTTAAAGTCTGATGGATTTTTGATTGGCTTAATGTTTTTATCATTTATCAGCTGGAAAAAAAAAACGCTCTGAAAGTCATTCCATCAATATTGTTCCTCTGTGTCGTTATCGTTATAGTTGTGGTCTGGATTTCTCTGTTCTCATAGAATTAGAAAAATCATTAAAACATAGTTATAGTTATCTTTATAGTTATTGTATTTGGTGTGAACAGCCCTTTACTCCTCACCATGTAGTTCATTTTGCAGTAGAACATTTTTGGTTATCTGCAATGTGGGAAAAATGAATCCGATGAGAGGGAACTTGAAAGAAAAGAGATTTTCTCCATGAGAATGGATGAAGAAATTAGTCTACGGATTAAGGGTCTATTTAAAGGGCATTTTTGGAAAATTACTAGAAGTTTTTAAAAGCTTAGCTGTTGCATGTGTAAACTGCAGGTGTAGTGTTTTACCGGAATATGTCATTTCAATGGGTTTTTTGTGCAGCTGGCCACTGATTAACTTCTAAACAAAAGATAAATATCATGCATCTTGAATAATAAAAGCATCAATCTGAATGTAGATGTAAAAATGAAGCTTAGACTGCAAATAAAACTGAATTCCACTCTTTACACTTCTTTTGTCATTTTAAAGGTCTGATGAGGCTAAAAATTCAGTGGTGCAGAAAATAATATGCAACATCTTTTGCGTTGTGAGGATTATGTGTGTAAATCTGACAAAACTTGTATATCTATACTTAATACTTGAATATCTGTCTGATTGTGTAGTCACCAGAACTAGGATGTTAAATTGAGTACCGGGGGTGAAACAGAGTAACCCTGTAGTGCCCCAACTGTGGTCCTCACCACACCAGAGGACTTCCCTGATTCTGTCAGTCAAACTTAGGGGCTGTTATTTATGGCATCCAGCAGAGCATGAAATAATTCAACATCTGTGAATGAAGTGTGCTTGTGAGCATAGTAACATGCCATGGTTCTTACCAACTGCTTTCAGAGAGTTGTACTTATTCAGCGCCAGGCCTGGTATACTGAGGTTGCTTTGAGGATGAGAGAGTCCGGCTGGTGTACCAAAAGAGAAGCCAGCATTGTTTAGATGGTACTGCTCTGGAATAAAGAAGAACGGTTGAAGAACATTAAAAAAGACTCTGTATGTGATTACATCAGTATTGTGTATGAATATATGAGTATTTCATATACTGTATATACCCTTAAGTTCAAAAGTTTGGTGTCAGTAGGATTTTTTGGATGCAATAAATTGATCAAAGTGACAGTAAAGACATTTATAATGTTACAAAATACTTCTATTTCGAACAAATGCTGTTCTTTTAAACTTTCTATTCATTTAAGTACAGTAAGTAGTACGTTTTTACTTTATTAAGTACCGTAGTAATATATATATTTTTTTTTCTTTTTTTTTTTTCTTGTTTGAAATACCAGTTCCCTCTCGAGCTTTCACAAGACATCACGGAGATATTTCTCCGTTATGGGAACTCCTTCCCTTCCAACCTTTCCTGAAGTCATATTGGCTTATGCCAGTCCAAATGACTGGCCAATTGACGCAAATTATGCAAATCGCATGCAAATACTGACGAGCTCGAGAGGCAGTATAAAATGCGGTGCACACGTCAATTACGTCAGAATCTTCTACTTCACCTGTTGAATTCACTATGGCAACAATCTGCAAGATCTGCGCGGGACCGATAGAGCCGCCGGATCAGCACGACTACTGCGTCGCCTGCCTGGGCCTGGCCCACGCCATGGCGGCGCTGGACGAGTCCGACTGCGGGCATTGCGCGGACCTGCCGACCCGCGTGCTCCAGACCGGCCGCGATGTGGTTCGCAGCCTATTCGGCAGGGAACCGAGGTTACGATAGTAACCGGAGCGTTTTCCTCTACATAAGAATGCCATTTTACTTTCAGACGAGAACACTAATTTATTAGCACAAACTACACATACAATATGTGCAGAAAAACATGCTGTGTCTGTGTTTGAGTCACTTTGTAGAACTGCAATAGAGACCTATTTAAATCCGCTCTATATGCAGTGACCCTATATTGACCACTGAGATGTGGTTCAGCCTGAATGACCTATTTTTCCTTGTAAGCTGTGGGTGACAGCACAGGAAGGACATTGATGGAATTAATGAACGTTAGATGTTGCTTTCCTTCTTTCCTGTTTGTTCCATTACTCATTAGTCACATTTCATTTAACATGAGCGGTGTGTTGAGAGATGTGGACAGCCGTTCTTTTAGGGGGAACGTGTGTTACACATTCTGAAATCACCCTGGCAATCCCTTGTAGCGGTAAACAGTGTTTTTAATGCTTTAAATGAATGTTGCATGAAAGCCAAGAGCATATACCCTTCAGTGTGTTAATTCGGACAAGTACGCTTAGAACCAGAGTAACCAAACACACTATTCTGATGGCATGTCTGGGTAATTCCGATGTTTATTTGCATGCAGTTTACATTGGTTGAACCAAGCTTGCTCAAGATCATTTGTGATATTACTGTGCTTTTTAGTCTCTGCAGGTGTAGATTAGTCTTACTCTTTTATGTTGTTAAAGGAAGTATTATCCTTTTCACCAGCTCTCTTTTCTAAACCTTGTGTGGTGCCCTGAGGACATTAGCTTTAATACAACATCAGCAGTGCCGTTAACCACCATTTACTATCTGTGTGCCCTCTTGACACTCTATGCTGTGTTTGATAATGATGAAGAGTAAAGGGAGAAACTAATGAAAGGGGTTTGTCAGGGTAAAGAATCTCTCAGGATGTAAGACTTGGCATCACAAAGAGAAATCAAACCAGAATGTTTGTAAGATTAAGTGTATGTGATGTAATTGTAAGAAAAGATAGAAAAGAGAGGGTGCTGTCCTCTGTGCACATTAATGTCTTCATTAGGAATTTCTGACTAGACCTTTGAAGTCAAAATCATCGTCGGGAAGTCCAGAGGGGTAATAGCTTTTGATGCATTATGTAATTTTTAAGGCTGTGTGCATTGCGTACTGAGAATTTTTACTTGATATTAATAAAGTCATGCATATTTCCAAAGCAGTTGCCAAACAGTTTTCAGATTCCCGAAGGTCCTGAAGTACAGCATTATTGCCCTCCATGTGACCATGAGAAGTACATTGTGAAATCTAATGTATAATAACGTTACCAAAAAATAACTGAAAAAAAAATCAAATTAAATATAAATATAAGATTAAAAAAAACTTGAATGAAAATTAGAAATGTTAAAGTAAAGCTCAAATAAAATAAATTGAAGCTTTAAACCTAAAACAAAACCAAATATAAAGTAAACCTAAATAGAAATTAAATAAAAAAATAAAAACCAATAATCTAAAACAAAATTAATAAAACTTAAAGGGGTCATAGGATGCCCATTTTCCACAAGTTGATATGATTCTTTAGGGTCTTAATAAAAAGTCTGTAACATAGTTTGGTTAAAATTTCTCAATGGTAGTGTAAAAGACACCGTTTTTACCCTGTCAAAAACAGCTCTTTTTGAAAGGTGGGGCATAGAGGAGAAACAATAATGTACAGTATGTGGAAAATAATGTGTTTTTGGAACCTTAAACCGCATAAACACATTTCATTACACCAAATAGACAAAATAATGTTATTTTTAGCAGCATCATATGACCCCTTTAACCAGATAAAAAAAAAAACACTGGGTGGATTTTTATCATTATAGGGTGGTTGTGTACACACACACTGCCAACACACATTTCAGTTCAAACAACTTGTAAAAGTGCACGTAGCATCCTATGACCCCTTTAAAGTAAAATTGGAATCAAAGCTGATGTAAATTAAGCTAATTCAATATATGAATAAATACTATAGTATATATACATATAATCTTCAAGATTGCTCCTCAAGATTAATCTTCAAGTAAATATTATTAATAAAATATAATAAATATATTAATTTAAGTATAAAAAGAAGATATTTTAAATAACGGAAATTAAACATCATTGAAGCCTATTGACTTCTAATGGTTAATAAAATAAAATAAATATAATATTCTAAGTATACTGTAAAATATATTATGTAATATATGTTAAAATTATGTAACAATAATTTTTACAGCCCACAAGTCTCAGTGCAGCCTATAGCCATTCCATCCCTACATAATTATGTCACATTTTTCCAAAAGCATCCATGTTAAGACTGTGGTAATGTTATGTAGCAAACTACTGATGGATTTTAAAGTGAGTTACCATTTAACTGAGGTTTGGCTTCAGGGACAGACTGATGTATAACTCAAATCAAAATGAGCCCAAAAGTGTCCAAAAGTGAAACCTCATGTCCATATAAACTCAGAGGTAAACATCCTGCCAGTCATATTTGGGAATGGCAATGTAAATTGAATGGGGGATTGAGAATGTGCAACAGAGATGCCCTAATATGGGACGGGGTGGCATCTGTGTATTTGCGTGTCATTGTTCATGCTCTTCATTGGAGTGCCACCATCTCCCACTATGAGGGACTGTTCACTGTTGTGTATGTTCTCAGCCCTGAAGCAATAGAGACGTCTGTGATGCTGTAGTGTGAGGTGTGTGTGTGTGTAGTGGCATATAAAAACAAAGCCTGAAATGCCGGAGGCAGAGAATTAAAGAGCCGTCTGCATAAGGGGAAGTCTAAAATTGGACTGTTCGTCTTTGTGTATGAAACTGTCATGCCATAACACACGTGCTCACATAAACACACATGCTGGCTTACGAGCTCCTATAACTGTTTTTTGACTGGATCCCTGCTATTTAAGGTCTTTTGTCACTCTTAAAAATAAAGTTTCCAAAATGGGGTTTTTACATAGAAGGCCATTTTGAATGCCATTTCAGGTTCCTCACAGAACCTTTCAGTGAACAGTTCTTAAAATAACAATTTTATTCTTAATGTGAAGAACATTTCAAAAATCTGAAGAACCTTTTTTACACTATAAATAACCAGAATTGTCCTATTGAAAGTTTCCATGGATGTTAAAGGTTCTTCATGGAACCATAGATGCCATTAAAGAAAGTTTTAAGAGTGCAAGGAAATATTTTAACTATGGCTGATTATGCTTGCAAAATTACAGTAAATGCATACAATATTTGTGTCTTTAGGCATTTTGGTAAGATAGAGGATGAAGAGAAAGAAAACTACAGATTATGCAAATGAATGAAAGAATATGATACATTCTTAAAATAACAGTTCCAAAGGGGAGTTTTGCAGTGATGCCATATAACAATCATTAGAGAAAGAACCTTTTCAGTGAACTGTTTTTAAAACAACCATTTTTTTCCAGGTGTGAAGAACATTTTAATAGTCTAAAAACCTTTTTCCACTATTAAGAAACTTGGAAAAGTTCAATGGAATCTTGCATTAAAAAAGTTCCATGGGTGATATTGTTTCTTCATGGAATCATATACCAATAAAGAACCTTTATTTTAAGAGTCTACCTATAGAAGGAAAGGTAATTTCATGGAGGTTTAATGCAAGGATGTAAATATAATATTGTAGTGTTGTGAATGGATTTCACCAGATGAGTTTTAGGGCTATTTGAAATCTCAGTAGAAATGAAGGGTAATTGAACTCTGGCACATTCCAGCTTATGAGAATATCTGGAAGTGCATGCATAAGAATCTTCTAGCAGTTTTACTACAAGAACAAATCAACATCACAGATAAATTACTGCAAAAGACAGCAGCATGCATGCTAAATTCGAATTGCATGCTGAATTGTCACAAGCTCTTTTACTCTGTAATGTAATGCATTTTCATTTGAAACAGGATATTCCATGAGTAAAAATAAGGGGCAGGAGTCGGGGAAAAGTGGACGCTGAATGGAATAAGACCAAATGTAAGTTTGTTAAAATATTGACTAAATATCTGTTTGGATATTGTTTAACATTATTCAATATCCTGTTTGGCTTATTAAAGCAGTTCACCCAAAAATGAAAATTCATTACAATACAACTGTAATGATTATGGTTAAAGGCACATCTAAAATAACCAAACTGCATTTGTTTTCATATTAAACAGACATTTACAGGTATCACTCTGTTTAGTGCTTTCATATATGAAATTTTATATTAATTGAATTAATAAACCATTTATTTTTATATAAATACACATGGATGTATTATTAGATACATGTATATTACACAAACATATGGAAATTTTATACTTCATTTATTTACAGAACTATATTATGGCATTAAACTTCTCTAAAGGTGTCTTTACAGCTGAGTTACAGTAAGGCTGCTCTGTACCTACACAAAATTCAGTGAAAAGGCACAATGACTAAATTATGCCTGTTTAGACCCACCTCAGCACCTAGGATCAAAGTATACAGTTGTAATTGCTTTGTAAATGCGTTTAAGCCACCTCTGAGCAACATTAAACAGTGTGTGTAAAGACACCTAAATGCCACTTCAGAAGCGCTTCTGTGCCAACTTTTGCCGTGTAAATTTGGCATAATATGTGCAACTCAACTTTCATCTGTTTGTATCAATTGAAGTGAACATCAGCAGATATACTGTGCTCAGGGAGCAGGGACCAGTGAATAATTCAGTGATAAATTGTTCACAACAAGGCCAGGAATTTTAATTAAATAGTAAGTAAGGTTAATTTTGCACTAACATGAAAAGGGATGTTGTTGACCTGTGGGGCTAAATGTGATGTACTGCTATTGGTGCCATAATAAACAATGTCTTTTCCAGGCTTCTTGTGATCACACAGCCTCAGGCCCTTTAACCATCTAGTGCCCATCACACTTGCTCTTTCAGGCAGTGTGGCAGTTTAATATTTCCAATTTAACCATACGCAGATGAAAGCCAACGTGAAGACATGTCTTTTGAACCCTGGCATTGAACGTCACCTTCCCAGTGCAAGACCTAGAACTACACAAGCGCTAATCTTCACACCATTACTGAGGACGTGGAGAGATGTGTACAGTCACACCGCTAAAACCTCTAAGCACTGTGGAGGAAACTTAAATCCTCCTCATAAAGAGGAGAGGAAAGTGTGCCGCTTAAGCCTAGCACAGGCTCTGGTTATCAACATAAACCTCACATCAACTGTCGGTCTGAATCTCACGCCTGTGTAAATCCACCGAGTGGAATCATAGATGAGACGACCTAGATGAGTAAGAAAACGGGGTTACAGATGTATTTTCCTCTGCCTCTTGAGGAGAAATGGAAATGGAAAAGAAAATGGGGGAGAAAACCAAAGATAAAAAGGGAGGCATAGAAAGAGACAGAGGGGAAGTAGGGAGTCACTTTATCTAGATCAATAGATCTATATACATATATATATATATATATATATATATACAGAGGAAACAACAGGTTTGAAATGACATGAGGGTGAGTAAATGATGACAGAAATTTGTGAACTGTCCCATTAAGATGAGATTTGCTCAGGGGCACAGTTGTAATAGCTCAAGGATTTTTTTTTTTGCAGGACATTTCAGGATTCACAACTACAACCATTTAGTTACCGGCCATTCATTCTCTATGAGGAAACTCATGCACTTCATTTAATTATTTTGTTTTGTATTTGTTTATTTATTTGCTATTAACAAGAGCAGAAAGAAGTGAGCAGCTGTGAGCCAGTGATTCAGAGTGTGCGTTGTCATGCAATGCTGTGTGAGCAGACATGTACAAAGGTGATGCATCCATAAATGTAGAATATATATAGCAATTTATTTCTTTATTATGTTTGTATGTGGGGAAAACAGCAGAGTAAGTGATCTCACCACTGCGACTGCGAAGCATCCTGGCAGAGATACCATTTGCTCCGACAGATGTTGTGCTGCTCAGAGGTCCATCCACAGGACTCAACTCCCCACCTGGCTGCTTCAGCAACTCCTGCAGAGTCCTGTGAGGAGACAAGAATAATCATTTACCCAACCATTATTTCGGTCCCACTTTATATTAAGTGGCCCTAATACCTGTGTACTTGCATAGTAACTAGATGTGTACATAGTATGTAACCACAGTGTAAGTACACATTGGTACATAGTATCTACAGCTGTAATGTTTGTGTAACTACACATATGTAACAACCCACTGAATGGTATGTGTAAATATAAATGTGTAACAGGACATTGGTAACAACAATTTTTGGTAATGAAAGTACAAATGTGTAACAGGACTAACAGCACTTTTTAGTAAAGAAAGTGTTACACTTTTTGGTAAAGAAAGTGTTACACTTTATATTAAGTAAAACAATTCCTATGGATTTACCATGTAATTACTCTGATGTTACACAGCAGCTGCCAGTAAGTTAGGATTTACATATAAATTGTGGTTGGTGTCCAGAATGTTACACTTTATATTAAGTGAACAGTTCCTGAGGAGTTACCATGTAAGTACACTGGTATTACAGTGGTGCACCAAATCCACCAACTTGAGATCCAACTCC